TTTTTTTTTTATTTTTTTCTTTTATTATGCTTTCCCGTTACATCTCTCCCCGCAGTCCATCGCTCTCACATCTCTGTCGTGCAACATCACCCTATTAGAATATTGTTGTGCTTCCTCACACACTTGCCCTTTAGATTAGGGATAATATTTTATCTCTTTTTCTTTTTCTTTTTTAGAATTTTTTTTTAAATTCAAAATATTTTTTAAAAATTATTTTGAAGTTGTTAGTTTCTGGTTAACTAATTAAATATATATAAAAAAATTTGTCGCAAGAAACAACCTTATGTACCAAATAACATATTTAAAAAATAAAAGAATTTTTTACTATTACAAAATATAATTACCAAACTTTTTTTTTTTTCAAAACATAGTGATCTCCTCTTAATAAAAAAATGTAACGGAATAATAATTATTAAAAGAAGGTAAAGGAATACATTTTGAATTTCAAAAAATTTAGGGGCATACGTCGTATTTCAACAAAACTGAGGGGTGCTTTTTCGCTTTTGCGGAACTATATATCACCCAATCGCCATCGACATCCAAAATCTAGGGTTAGGGTTTTGGCCGGTCGGCACTTTCAGCTAAACACAGAACTCTCTTTCACCCTCTGCCACCGAGGTATCATATCTTTCAGTCACCATGGGGTAAGTACTATTTCGTTTCTTGCGGTTTTTCTCGTCCATTTTCTTTCGAATATTTCAAAAATTTCTGCTCTCGTCTTTTTCTTCATGGATGTTAGAGATTTAATGGTTCAAAAGATCCAAAGCATGGTTGTTTTCATAAGCTCTCCATGAAGCAGATAAGGGAACTTTATGAACAAAACAAAAATAAAAAAGTTCATGTTTTGTGCAAATCATTATCACTTGGTCTGTTTGGTAACCCAGAAAGCAGAAAAATTTGAAGAGAAAGTAAAGATGTTCTGAAAAACAAAAATTATGAACATGGGTTAGTTCAAGATCAACCTTTGGCCAAATAGAATTGGCTAGTTATCAAGATCTTCTATGGGAAAAATGTAGATGCTTTAAGTTTATGTTTGAAATGTATGAAAAACATTTTTTTAAGTTTATTTGATTAGTTGTATGAAACTGAATTCCAGGATAAAGGGGGTGAACTTTTTCAGAGTTTTTGTGTGGTCAAATTGATTAATTGATGAAATTGTGTTGAATTCCTGAGGCATTTGTATATATTTCATATTGTATTGAAGTGGAATTTCTTAGCGTGATTTCAGCAGGACTTCTCCTTTTCTTCTGATAATTACTGTTGTGACTCCTTTGAGTGATGTAATTACTCTTCATTCCTTCAAACCATTTAGAATAATGTTTTTTTTTTAATGTAGCCTTAAACATGGATATGCATTTACTAATATACTGCTCGGACGGGTAGAATTTGTTGACTAAATAAAAAATACTATTGTTTTTGCAGTAAGACTCGTGGATTGGGAGCTGGTCGTAAGCTGAAGTCTCACCGCAGAAGGCAGAGGTGGGCTGATAAGGCTTACAAGAAATCCCATCTTGGGAACGAATGGAAAAAACCATTCGCGGGTTCATCTCACGCAAAAGGCATTGTTTTGGAAAAGATGTATGATGTTTTTTTTTCCCCTCGTTTATTCTTTGAAACAATCTTTTGTATTAGAGATATTTTGGTTTGGCATTGAGTTTTTACCATTACAATGGTTTTTGTTGCAGTGGCATTGAGGCTAAGCAGCCAAACTCTGCTATTAGAAAGTGTGCTCGTGTTCAGCTGATCAAAAACGGGAAGAAGATTGCTGCTTTTGTTCCTAATGATGGTTGCTTAAATTACATTGAGGAAAATGTAAGTCTTGTTGTTCTATCATCTAGGAGCGTTTATAGTTGCCATAAGCTGCATTATTGTCATGCCAATACATAACTCGGAAATACATTGCTAGCTTAGAATTTGATCAAAAAACTTCATCATATAGAATGAGCATGTGACCTTAAACCACATTTTTTTCTCCCTTTTTTTTTTTTTTGTTTTTTATGGTTCTACTCCAACTCTGCCGTGTTACATACTTTCTGTTGCGGCACTGTACAAATAGTTGTGGTGGTAGTTAACTCAACGGTTGCGGAGGCCTTCATAAGAGAATGAGTGCGCCACTGGATGAATGTTTTAGCTAGACTCCTTAGTTTAATTAATTAAAGTCTCGAGTACTTGCATTTTATAGTAGATCTTCTGCTTCTAAACTAATGCCCTTTCTGTGTTCATTGTTACCTTCTATACTTGGCTTAATGATGATGGTGATTGGTGCAGGATGAAGTCTTGATTGCCGGATTTGGTCGAAAGGGACACGCTGTGGGAGATATTCCTGGAGTCAGGTTCAAGGTTGTGAAGGTATCTGGAGTATCTCTCTTGGCTCTTTTTAAAGAGAAAAAGGAAAAGCCGAGGTCTTAGATATTTGCTTTGGGAGCTGATTTACGCTTTATATAACCAGCTATTCGGCTTTTGTGTTTCGATTAGATGATAGTTGTTGAACCATCTGAGCATTTTGGCAATAGTTTGTATTTGTACCTTTGAACTTGGATCTATTCAAGCAAAATGAAATTTTGGAAATGTAGAACAACTATGATTTTTGATTCCATAATATGCCCAAAGCGAATATTCTATTGATGGTAATTTGCAACGTAGCAATTGTTTTACTGTGGATATTTTATTTTATATATATACCTGGACAACATAATCTATACATGTTAATACCAGAATTTTTTCATAAAATTTTACCGGAAGTGCTATTTCTTGAGACGTTTCCTTATCGACAATGTACATTTTTGTTTTCTTTCGGGCAAAAACATATAAGCACAGAAACTGCATTTCTCATTACCTGATCTGTAAGGCGACGATGAATATTGAAAGGCTTGGCTTTTGGGTATGCTAGTTCTCAACTAATCTGTAGTGGTTTACTATCCCCGGTAGAGAAAAGCTCAAGTAAAGAACTTAAACGTTGAAATGCAAATATCTGTCAAACTTGAATTAAACACGGATGCTTCAATTATATTTATTTCAAATAAATAACAAAATGACTGTCCCTTCCATTCAAGTCTAGTGAAGTTCTTTGCATCGCAGATATCTTCTTTAGTGCTTAGCTTCTTGAATATATTAGTTCTCAACAAAGAAATCATGGTTGACTATCCCCAAATATTGACAGAAGTTCAAAGAAAGAACTTGTGTCCGAGATGCAAATTGTCCCTCGCACACCGTCAACCGGGATGATCCCTACGAAATGCTTCAAGCGTGCATAAAAGTCGTAGCCAACTGAAACTACAAACCTTAAAGCGAAAAAAAAGGTTTTTAATTGGTAATATACTGTGGAAAAAAGTAGCTGCAAAGTTTTACTTGTTCTTCTAACTACAGAATCTACAGAATACACAAGTAGGTAGACAACAAACTGGACTTCCCCTTCGGACGGGAGTCTTGGCAATTTTCATTTTGTCTACAAAAAAAAAAAGAGGGAATCGGGCTCAGCCGAGGACGAAATGCAGGACGATCATATTTTCAGAGTTAAGACGGCAGATTGAGAATGTGAGGAGGTCTTGTTGACTTTGAGCTCTATCACCATGTCACCCCCAAGATCAATTGTACCGACGTATTTGCTTAAACCGTCTACTTGCTCTTTGAAGCTGTAAACATTTTCCTTGTCACTATCGTTATGTATGCGGAGGTTCTTTCCAGGACAGTTCATATGCTCTTCATATTCATTCAGGTTCTTATGCTTTCTGCCAAATTTATTTTTCATAGACCCTTCATCACATTCGCTTTCCGCCTTTGAACTAGATCGAATACCTTCAATTGCAGCATCTTGCCCTTTACTGTCCACTTTCTTGGTTTCCAAGCAGTCTTTGCTAGTTCTTTCTAGAGGCAAATCCTTCTTAACTCTAAGAGCCATGGGGAAACAGATTTCAATAGTGGCCCTCGTGACATGTTCATTGCCAGAAGTATTTTGTACTTTTGCATCCTTCGTTGGATTCTTAGATGTAATTTGCAAGGCAGATTCAGGTCCAATTTGCTTAGGAGTCCCAGATATTGTTCCGGAAATCTTTGGCTTTCCATTTTTAGCTCGATTTGCTGGGCGATTAAGAACACTGATGCCGCTCCCAACTTTTGACATTGCACTTTGTGTACCAGGATTGAACTGTGCACTTTCAACTGTTGTTGCTATTGAAGAATTTTCCTGTCAGCAGAAAAAATCTAATTAACGATAGAGGTTGCTTAGCACTATGGGAATTTGGGACCCAAACCACATTTAACTGTAAAACTTGAAAAAATTACAACTCTTTCTAGCGTAAAATTAAATTAAAAAAAAAAATACTAACATTTGATCAGCAGAGTGAAAAACATATAAAACTAACCTCATCAAAGTAACCAATTTTCGGTGATGGCATTCGAAGACCTGAGGGCTTGGTATTCTTCAACTCAGTGAAAGGAAGAGCACCAGTTCCAAGTGGTGCCTTTTTAATATGGTGTTTCAGGAGCCGTTTTCCTTGATTTCCATTTTCTTTGGGTTGGGGATTATTAGATTTCTCAATAGCAGAAGTGGACGATGATTCCGAGGACCATCCTTCAAAGGAACTGTCAGGTGACGGACAAGAGAACACATAACTAGAATGACAAGAACTTCCCAGCTCAGCTTTCTTCAAAGGAGTTTTGAATGTTGAACCACTGGCAGCCAAATAAACAAGTTTGTGAGTCCCCTTCTTCTTCTTCTTTTTCTTTTTTTGTTTGTTTTTTTGTTTTTAAGTCTTAAAGGTTGAATGAAGATTTAGCAGTGGCAGCATTGCAAAACCTGTTACTTAGGGAACAAGAAACTGATTCATGCGTTGCTGTCAGAAAACATAATGAAGATGATTTTGGTGATGGTGTAGAGCAACAGGAGACGCTGTTCAAGTTATCCGTAGAAGGTTTCTTTGGGATGTTCAGACATTGTCCTGTGACAAGCACACGAGCTTCATTGTGAGCTAGTTCAAAGCTCACAAATAAAGAAAACTCTATCTACGAATTTAAACTCCTTGTATAGTCTTACCAGAAGCAGATTTTGTAATTCTGGCTTTGACAAGGCTTGCACCTAAAGGAGCCCTTTTCGGTAAACCTTTTGGAGTGTTTTTAATCTGGTCTGATGACTTTGGTGGTCTAAGAAATGACGGTAAATTCAGTTCCCCACTTCCAGCAGGAAGCTTTATATCAATCAACAAGTGAAGTTTTGTAAGAATAACTAATTTGTTACAATCACAGCATCATAAATTCGATGTACATGAACAGCAAAAAGAAGCAATCTAAAGCACAGCTACTTGAATGAAAAACTACAGAACTTACCACTAACATTAATAACGTCTCATTTTTACTTGGTCAGATTACACACACGAATATGCATGGAAAGTTTTGGCAAGCAATCAGTCAATATAAGGGGCACCTGTTTCAACGAGGGTGCAGATAAAGAAGCCTTCTTTTTACATCTCTCTGCTCCATGTGGATTGCTATTTTGTCTTCGGGATGTCGGCATGTCTTTCACCTGAAATTTCAACGTAGATAACCTCACTGTAAAAGAAACATCACATGAATCATAAAATGAATGATTGTCAATGACAAGAACTCACCCTCGTTCGAGACGGTGCCTCAAGTTTATTTGAATCTGAAAAGTAGCGGCAGAATAAGCATATATTTACACAAATGTACAGAATAAAAAGGTCTTAAAATAGAAACTGCCTGTAATTGCTTTTCAAAATATGGGATGTGTGGCTGCAGGTCAGGTACTAAGGCGATAACATTAAAAAGGATCTATTACTTACCTTTTATACTTCGAAATTTAAGACTCGGCGCTGAAACAGAGAGTTTATTAGTTGAAGTAAATGATGATTCTCTCATATCTTCAAAAAGATCAATCTCAAGGCTCGTTAGAGAGGAAGAGCCGCTATCTACGCTGTAGTTTGACTCATTAGATCTTAAGACATCTTCTAGAATTCCAGGCAGATATGTTCCTGAGTTCTTGAATCCTCTATTTACTATTGATAATTCTTCAGGATCTAAAACTCCTGTGCACATATGAAAAGATAGTGAAGACTGTATTTAGCTAGAACAAAACTTTTCTAACAAAACGTTTGGCCAGAAGCTCTTTTGTATTAGCATCATACTAGATAAGGCATACCTGCATTTGTGAAGAAGGCACTGTCCCAAGCTAAGCTTTTGCGCAAATCGCACTTATCAACACTACTCGTTATTTTAGGTTCTAAGGACCGAGAGGGAAATAGTATTTCTTCTTCATGCCCAAATATATCAACCAAGTTATCCACAAACTGAGAGTTAACGGTCCCAAACAGCTCCTCCGGTTCCAGAACTCCTAATCAAGGAACAAGTGAAAAAAAAAAAATGAAGCTTTGTGCAGCAAGAATATTGTAATGTATAATGAATTTTAGTCAAGAAGGACCTACACTATGCTCAGGACATAAAAGATACCTGGACTTGTGAAAAAGGCACTATCCCAAGCCAAACTCTTCCGGACATTGTACTTTGGCTCGTGCTGTAGACGCTTCTGGTCACTTTCGCTGTGTAGATTTGCTGCATTCTTGACGTCTTGAGGATTCTCAGTATCAAACAGCCTAAAACCGTCAAGCTTCTCCCTATCATCTGAGATTTCTTAAAACTCAGTTCTATTTGAATTCAATACGAACAACAACGTATAGAACAAATAGCAAAGTGTTAAGACGGAATGCAAAAGTCTTTATAATGTCCATTCCTCTTGTTTTTGGAATCTGTAGGACCTTGCATTTCCTTAGTAAATCTTACCAACCAATTTTCCTGTAGTAAGTTCAGAAGCTTATTGCCCAAAAAAAAAAAAAAAAAAAAAAAACCCTAAAAAAACCAACAATTCATTTAGCTCTAAAAGTAACTGCATATTGAGTTATTGTCTTGGGACAAAAATCACACTTTAAAGTCAGGACTTTAAACAGAAACCAATCACTTGGCTTTGATTAGAAAAAGAATACACCAACACTCCCAGCATTAACCTCAAAACGAGGCAAAAAAAAAAGTTCCAGCACACACACGCCCGCACAGATACTATATATATATATATATATATATATATCTACACACACACTGGAAAGTAAAATTTCGAATTGAGAACCTCTCAACTTCTAACGCAACAAACATCATCAATGTACTCCTTCTATTTCGTTTATTTTTGGTTAAAGATAATTAATATCTATATTCTGGTGGACAGTGCAATTCTGAATGCTAATTTTTCATTTCTCCAGAAAATTAAACTTCTGCATTCATATGCATACGCATAACTACACATGACATATCGTTATACTTTACATACATACATACAAACATATAATATATATATATATAGAGAGAGAGAGAGAGAGAGAGAGAGAGAAGACAAGCATAGATATTGGAAAGCATAGAACGTAATACACAGAATTTTCTTGAAGAACAAGAAAAAGAAGATCTTGAAGACGCAAAATATAGGATTAGGAGAGACAAACCTGAGAAACGGAGTTGCCGAAGTTCATTCTCCGACGACATTTCTCTACTGATTCCGAGCTTCTTGACGAGGAATTTCAAAGAAGAAAGAGAGAAGAAAACCGGAAGTTTTCAAACTTAGAGAAAGAAAGAAAGAATTAATTGAGAATTTGAAAATCGAATATCAGAATTACTTAAGGGGACGTTTGTTTTATGTATTCAGAATCATAATTTAGAATTATTCTCGTTTTACGTGTATTTTTTGTGAGAAAAAATACTGTAGAGAATCATGAATCATGATTTAGAATCAGGAACGAATATAGGAAACAAACGTTCCCTAAAAGAGATGTTTGATTCATAGATTAGAATCATGTGACTAGAATTATTTTTGATTTACATGTATTTTTTTATAAGAAAAAATACTGTAACGAATCATGAATTATAATTCAAATCATACTTTGAAACTGCCGACTAAACATTTTCTTATTAGCTATATATTGAGATTGAGAGAGTAATTATTTAGGAATAATAAAAGGACGAATAGGACAATGACTCAAAGGAGCTGAAATACTAATCCAAATTGAACCGAAGATGAAGATTCTAATTATTTTGATGAATTTCATGGGCTGTCGTTTAGGAATCTCACGGCCCAATGAAAGGCTTAGAGAATGCTACTTAAAGCGTAAATCGCCGCCACGTGTAAAGAGAAAATGAAGTATTGTCCCCCGCAGGTGACTTAATGTTTGCCTAAGTTACTTTTCCTTTAAATTGAGCGGGAAGGTTTGTCCATGGAGCGTGAAATATATTACTGAATTTTGGGAAAAAGTCAAATGAGTTGTCGTGGAAGGGAATGTAGATTGTAGAAAAGCTGAAAAAAGGAAAGAAAGCTTCAATTGTCGTTTTCCCAAATTCACCTGCTAAAAATAGTTTCAAAATTGTGTGAAAATTTGAATGTTGATTTCCTTTTATTAACTACTATGATCTCAATTACAATTCATGATTTGATTGGAGAATCCGGGGATTCGAATCCATAAATTAATTGTCTGGAATTCTGTATCATGCATGGCATGCTTTTAATATTTGGTTTTCAACTGTCGTTTACTTGTGTGCGTGAGAGAGACGAAGAGATATGACAGTAAGAAGGTAAGAATTAGACAACTTTCCTTTTTTTTTTTTTTTTTTTTTTTTTTTTTTTTTTTTTTGTCTCTCTCTCAAGAAAAGAATTGAAGGACTTGCGACCTCCAAGTAAGGAACAGGGACATAATAGGCATAGCCTTCTTATTTCCTCTATATTTCTTAAAATATGTGTTTTAGAATGGGGAGTGTTCTCTCTTATCCTACCCCGACCATCTCGACTCAAGAACAAGAAGTTATCTTCATTCCTGTTTCACGATAATGTATGCAATCCCTATTCTTACACCATTTACGGGCGGATTCTCACAGGAAAAAGTTTGTTATCTCTAAATAAAACATGAAATTCATTAAAGCTTTATAAACCTTTTCTTCTATTAATAAATTTTTTTTTTTTTTTTAACACACTTTTGCCTCAAGCTTGCTACTTGAATTTGCAAATTTTGACACTTTATCTCACAACATTGTTACAACATGCTCTTTTTTCTATAATTATTTTTTTGTTGTTGTTAAATTAAGGTTGATTTAGAGACTTGAATGATTTGTATTAGGATTTGAATTGAGATTTTGAGGTTTTTTAAAAAAAACAAAAAATTGAAACTGGGCTTTTCTTCTGTCATTGTGAGGCGATAGTTGGAAAAGTCAAAATTAAGGGTTGTTCATTTCACAATTTAGAGTCCGTTTGGCATTACTTTTAAAGATTGTAATTAACTTTTTTTAAGAAGTTACAATAGATTAAGGTATTTAGCAAATTCTGTTTTTGTCCAGCAGCTTCTAAAAACTACTACCTTATAGTATAATTTGAGAAGCGAGTTAAGAATTACTTTTACACAACAACTTGTGTTGTCATTGTCTAAGTTTACACAAGAAACCTTAATAATAAAACTTTAGAAAAAATTTTATTTTGATACATTCTGTTATATCAAAATATGCATTTAATACCCTCTATTTTTAATAATTTCATGAGGTACCTTGGCCTTTTATCTTTTTTCGTACCTTAGAGCAATTTTTTGGGACACGAAAAGACTTAACCTTATTGTTAAATATCACTCTGTTGACCTGAAATTCCAGTTCATGTACCCTCTATTTTTAATAATTTCATGAGGTACCTTGGCCTTTTATCTTTTTTCGTACCTTGGAGCAATTTTTTAGGACACGAAAAGACTTAACCTTATTGTTAAATATGACTCTGTTGACCTGAAATTCCAGTTCATGTATCACTCTAGCCCATAAATCAACACTCAATCTTTTTTTTTTTACAGTATTTTCTCTTATAAAAATTCAAAATCAACTTGTTTGTTACACTATTTTCTCTCATATAAAATTCAATTTACAAAAATTCTCAAAAAGATGCCCTAAAAGTTCGAAAGACAAGTTTTCAAAACCCAAAAAGTTAGGGGCAAAAGGTGCTAAAATAAAGGCGTTTTCTTTCAATAAATTGGATGAGCTTTAACAAATGTCAAGCTTTCTTGTGGGGCATATAGTCAAACGAGCGTTTTATTCACCAAACAAAACAAAACAAAAACAACACAAGCGTTTAACGCCCAACGATGAACTTAAAATGTGATCATTATATTCTGCAACTGTAAGATGCTTTCGTTTTTCCCAGTGAACCATTGCCCAAGAAGAGATACACAACATGGCAAAAATGTTAAAAAGACAATTGAACATTGAAAGAGAATAATTAGGAGTAGCAGATACAGGGTTTCTAGTTTTGAAAATTCAAATAAGCTTGTTCATCATACATTTCACTTACACCACACTAAGTAGCAATTGTATCATTTCCCAGCTTAAAACAGATTTTACGCCACCAAGATGCCATGCATTGCCAGTGGTGATAAACCAAACTTTGTTGCTTGTTTTAACTTAACTGAAATTGCCCACTTTCTAATCCATTTCCATTAACCCATATTTTGACAACCACAAGCCCAAAAGGGAAACCAAAGAAAATGCACATATCACAGCGTAAAAAGCAATACTGACTCAAATGCATTGGCTATTTAAGAAATTTGTACTACCACTCGAAGCTCAACTAGCACAACGCTCCATTACCGCTGGTCGTGACCAGAACAATGCATAAACTGGACAAGAAATTCCTTTTCCATTTAAGGAGACAAACATGATTCCATAATTAACTCTTCTAGTCATGAAGGAGAGTTCCAAAAACGGCTATGAAGGAACGCTCAGCTAACTCAGCTATACATTAAACTAAGCAACGCATTTAACTAAGCACGTAAATTACATAAAAAAGAAAATTGATGCATCTCGGAAAGAAATAAACATTGAGAACTCGGGGGGCAACGTACAGAATGGATAACCAGATGAATAAACAACCTGGTTACCTCCTTCAGCATCCCTTGCAATTGCGCATGCCATAACATCGCTGCCAGCCTTCCATCCATGACCCACCATTTACTCAGCTTCTGCTTTGCTTATCCTATAACAAATAAGTGCTTCTCAAGTTAAAATGGCAAAAAGACAGAATACATTTTAGTTGCTAGAAGCTCACAAGCACATTTCCCCATAAGAAACATAGCAGTAAAGAACGAAGCTTTGTTTCTACTTTCATCCCTTAAATCTCGCACTGAAACAACCATTCCAAGTGTATGCCTCTAGCTTTCGCTAACAGTCTTCTGTTCTTTATTTTAAGGCTATCTTTCTCAGGAGAGAGAGGACCTTTCTTTATACCAATACCTCTTAAAGATCTCGTAAACATGTAACTTAGCTGTGTATACTAATCTTTTAAAATTCTAATATTCATGATAGATAACGATATCACTCTCCAAAAGCTCTTTTACATAAGCAATCTAATTGCTCTCCCCTTTTACGCTCCCGTACAAATAAAATCTCAGATAATGAAAGTGAACAGATTCCAAAATAGAAAACAAGGAAAATTGAAAAGAACCTGAAAAAGAAACATAGTCCAGATCCATCATACATACCTAAGACTTTCTAAACCAGATTAACTTCGAATGCAGAGAGATTGGAAAGATCAAGATGCATCTCATGTTCATGGGTGGAGAGATCAAGATGCATCTCATGTTCATGAGTGGAGAGGTCGAGTTGCATGTCATGGTCATGGGCGGAGAGGTCGAGTTGCATCTCATGATCCTGGGTTATAGCAACAGGAGTTGGTTTGAATTGGACAATCGGATCATAACTCAGTTCATAATTTACTAGTGTTGGTCCAAAGATGTTGAATTTAGCAGCACTGCTATAAGCAATTTCCGCATCCGAACCCTTCTTGAAAACAACCCTCGCACGACTGAACTCTCTATCGACTTCTGTGTCAGCTTCTTTCAGCGGTCCAAAGCGCCTAAACATCTTATTCAGGGTTGCTTCTGATGGGACAGATCTCACCTCAGAGAAGTTCATTACAAGTTGTGCTGGTGCATTCCTGTTGACTAACTCTGCAGGTTTCTCTAGTGTTGGAGCATTATTATGACTGGAATATTTTGGCTTCCTTGAGTATGGTCTCCGGCCTTCTTGAGGAGGTTTTACCTGTTGGGAAGGGGACTGATCTTTTTTCTTGCCTCTACGAGGCGGTTGCTCTTCAGAACCATTTTGGATGACCCTGTCCGTCCAATAGGTGTCATTCAAATCGTCAAATTCAAAAGTTTCAGGTGATGCTTTCTTCCTTTTACCACCGACTTTCTCCACAGCCACAAGCTCAGTCCCAGAATGCTGGCCCGTAATAGCTGAATTCCTAAAGTCGGAAAAGAAATTAACAATAACATTCGAGAAGCTGTATTCATTTAGGGGATCTTGTGCAATGAACTGAAGTTGCAAGAGCAATTCATCTAATGATGAGTACTCTGTTGGATCAACCACCCTTCCTTCAGGGCTGTGGAAGGAAGCATCATATTCATCCCCAGGTCTGTCACTGCTCCCATCTAGCTTCTGGACCCTCTCGCTGTTGCCCTTCGCAGTAGGAGACCCAGTGAGCTGGCTAGCAACTCTACGGATACATTCACCTATCTTAAATGATTGCTTTGGAGGTGTAGAATTAGAAACTTTCTTCCTTCCATCGTGTGTTGTCAAGTCGTCAACATGGTTATCTGAACCCTTACGTCTCTTGCCAGACGGAATATCATCATCCAGAGAATCTACTGCACCACCCATCAACTCTGTCAAGCTTTTTTCTTTTATTTTAGGATACGCACCATCCCTAAGGTTGTGTTTCCGCTTGTGATAAGAACTATTATGTACTTTTTGCGTCTCCTGGTCAGAGGCTGTCCGTTCATCATCTTTAGAAAAGAGACTTGCGTGCTCAATCACCTCACCTGGATATACATCATCCTGAAATCGTGGACCAGCCGTATCATTTTCCACCAAATCTCCACAAAATTGAAATTCAGGCAAGCTAGAAAAACCTCGGAAACGGCCGAAAGCCAATAACTGAGCCTTCGCTATTACAAGTTCTAAATGGTCACTCCCACCTGATGGAGACCATGCTAGAGCTTTTAAGTATTCGGCCAACTTATCAGCTTGGAAAAAATGAGCACTTGCAGATTCATCCACACTCTTTCTTTTACTTGATTCCGGACGGATCCCAGCATTCTCAACAATCTGGTGTTTAATCCTGTCATAGGAATCTTTTGATATACAAGAGCATGCCAAACCCAATTCTACTCGCCTTGAAACTTCTTCCAGAGCACAATTGACAGCCTTCTGGAACGTTTCTGCATTGCCCTGCTTCTCCATCTGTGTGAAATGAGTCCTAAAAGGCTTCAAAGTAGAAGATTCATTCCAAGCAAATGATCGGTCCCCAAAGTATGCAACCAAGTAGCAGTCCTTTTTATGATGTTTCATTGCCTTATCTGATGCATCAGTAAAATCAAATATCTGTCCAGGCCACCAAGGATGGCTCTTTACTTTACCCCAGACTAAATCGGGCACAGAAAACACACCTTCATCTTCTGGTGGTAGCCCATAGCTAGGTTGCTGCAGTGTTGATGAGCTTCCAGGCTCCAAAGATTCCCAATTAGTAATTTTATCCTCACTGGTATCTGGCTGCTCACCATCAGTGACTTCTTTAACTGCAGGCAATTCTTGCTCTCCATGTAAACCGAGCTCATCAGCAGCAATAACTTGTTCTTCAACACCTATTCCATCTGCAACATCTCTCTCAGATGCACCATAATCAGTGGCCACACCCTTGTCCGTACACTCTTCACTAATAAACTTCTGATCAGTATTCGAATGCCCTGGTACTTCAGTTGCAGAGATCAAAACCTCGTCAGTGTCCATTGGAGCTATATGCACATTATCCAAAACTCGATTCTCATCATGTCCTGAAGAAAGAGGTGGCACGCCTTCATCACTCGAGTAAGGAACACTATTACTGGGTGCCGTATCTTCAGCTCCAACTCCAGTGGGCTGATACAGATATGCCGTTTCTTCATATACATGACCTTCATTGTCAGTTATACTACCCACTTTCTCGGATGTTTCCTGTTGCTTTTCAAATTCTATTTGCTGTTCTCCATGGAAACCAACCTGCTGTGCATCAGCAATGTTTTCCTGATGATCTTCAGGCTTCAAGTGCTCAGTTGGCCCTGAAACTTCACTATTAGAATCAAAAACCTTTTCCTGTCCTCCACCGGAATCAACCTGTTGAGCATCCTGAACTTGTGCGTCTACTTCCATTTCTTGTCCCACATTTGACTCAACCTGGGCAATGTCGCAAGCCATATTGTTGTCAAAATACTCCTCTGGCTTCAAGCTCTCATCCTGTTCAGAAACTGAAACAACCTTATGGTCAGTGACAGTGACTTCACTTTCAACAACCATTTGTGTTTGTTGGCATGAGGACCAGGACTCAGCATTGACATCACTTTGATTTTCGCTAACACCACCTATTTCAACATTTACTTCTTGTTCTCCTACATTACTTAAATTTTCACCCGTAACATTAGCCTCCAGAACTGCAACTTTGGAACTTATTGCCACAGAGTTTTCCTCTTGAACTTGGGTTTGTACACTAGAATTTTCCACAGTTGTGGAATTCATCACCGTTGTTTCGATTCCATGGTTCCAAATTTCATCTGGAAGCCCAACTTTTTGTGTTTCCAAACCATTTGCTGAATCAATCTTGTTACCAACCGCTTTCTTATCTTGCTCAGCAGATTCTGTGGCCAATACACCTCCCACTTCTACACTTCCCGTTACAGAAACTTCCTCAACAAGTTGGGATTCTTCACCCTTATGACCAACTGAGGGACCTTCTATCCCATTTTCTGTTATAGGATCCCCCGCCTTTTCACCTAGAGACTCTACTTCCTGCTTTCTCGCTTCTACACTTGCATCACTCCCACCAGAAACCACTTCCTTCCCCACACTTTCACCCACCTCGTGCACTTCTCCTTCAACACCCTTCTTCACCGAAATACTACTGGCTTCAGTTTCGCCACCCGTAGAACCCAAAACAGCACCACCATCAAGACGATTCTCCACTTCTCTAGCCCCATCACCGCCACTAACCATTTGGCTTTCGCTCCCTGAATTCTCAGCCACAGCTACATGCGTGGTCGTCTCCCCCGTCACATCCCCAACAGCAACCTCAGCCTTTTCTTCAACTGATTCAGGAACTCCCAAAGAACCCTCATTTTCAGTTCCTATCCCCTGATTCAAAGCCTCCCCGCCGGAAACATCAGTATCCCGCAAATCCAATCTGTCAACTGCACCGCCATCTCCACCAACCGAGTGGTGCACTGGCCTCTCCGAACCCACCTCGTCATCGACCGATCCTCCACGACCCATTTCATCATCATCCAAATTCTCCCCACTCCCACTAGTACAAACTCCACCAACATAAACCTCAGAACCCAAGACCTCCACCATTATATCATCCCCATTACAAGAATCAAAAGACCCCTCGATCTGCCCCTGAACTAGGGTTTCCCCAGCTACCTGCTCAGCAGTAGTACTCTCAGTCACTGTAGTAGACTCCGAAACACTAACGACCAGAACATCCTTATCCTTGTTCTCATCCATCAAAATTCCTTATCTGATAAATTCACACAAAAAATTTCGAAAGAAAAAAACCATAAATTTGAATCCGGATAAACCCTAGCGGCAAAACTGAAGAAATCTACCAAACACAATCGAGAACAAGAAACCGATCAGAAAAAATACAATAAATGAAATCGAAAATTGAAACTTGCGCAAATCAGAAAAAGAAAGTAAACAGGTTAAAGATCGTGTTCGTACCTCGCTTAGATCTTCTTCCAAAGTTGTTAACAAAAAAATCAAAAGGGCTTTTCAGGGTTTGGGGGTTTAGAGAGAGAAAGAGGAGAGAGAGGAGTGTTATTTTATTTTTTTTTAGGCACATCATATTAAGGCGAGTGCCCAAAACAAAATAATAAAAATGAAATTAAAATTAAGGTGATGTTTTTTTTATAGTATTTTTTTCTTATAAAAAATTTAAATTTTAAAAATTAGAATTATTACTGTAATTTTAAACGCTGGAAGTAAACTTCACCTAAAAATGTGTGTCCGAATATAATGCTTTATTGTCGTTTTTCCAACTATAAAGTGACTGATCACCCGTTGCAGAGCTTTGTTTGGGAAATATGGTGAATTCTCTTTTTTTCCAATATCCAATGCGATCAAGCCACGTCTTTATTCTTCATTTTTGATTTATGATCTGGCGTACATCTTATGTCATTGGAAGAAATTAATTTAATTATTTTAATTTATAGTTATGGGATTTTCTTTCTATTTCCGTTTTGGCCGTTGGCTATCATCTTGATGAGTCATGCCTGAGCCGTCCACACAAACCACACCCAATACTGTCAAAGTGCAGGAATAAAAAAAGTGAATTATAGTTAGTGATAAAATTATTTTATTTTTGGTATCTTAAGTTTTTTATAATATTAAAATAATATTTTAATATTTTTAAAAATATATTTTTAATATCTTAAAGTTGATTTTTAAAACATGTAATGTTAACATAGTTAAATAAAAATTAATATTTTCTGAAAAAATTGAAAATACATTAAAATATTTAAAAGAAAATAGTAAAATAAAATGTCCGTGATTTTTTTTAGTTCTATTAGTTTTGGGTTAATTAAATAAAATGGTACTATGGTAATTTTACATCTAACAAAAACATTTTAAGAGTAGTAAGAAAATATTTTTAAAAATGTCGAGGTACTGTTTTATATTATCTAAAACAGAGGGTACCAAGAGCATGTTTCACTATAATAAAAGGTACCAAAATGATTTTATCCCTTACAGTTAAAATCCCCCATGTGTTTTATAATTTGTTAAAAGAGATAAAATCATTTTAGTACCCTGTGTTATTGTGAAATATGCTCTTGATATCTTGTCTTTTTTATTATATTAAAACGAGACCTCGACATTTTCAAAAAACATATTTTTGGTACTTTAAAGCTAATTTTGAGATGTAAAATTACCTTAATATATTTCTATTTAATTAATTAAAAACTAAGATCTAGAGAAAAATCGCCAACTTTTTTATTTTGTTGCTTTCTTTTAAATATTTTAATGTTGTAAAATATTTTAATGTTGTGAAATATTTTAAATTTTTTTAAAAAAAAATATTGATTTCTATTTAATTGATAAAAAGAGTAGTTAGGACATTACATCTTCTAAAAATTAACTTCAAGATATCGAAAAGATATTTTCAAAAACGTCAATGTATCATTTTAATATTATAAAAAATATAATATCCAAAGAAAATAAGTGACCCCTCTTCTTTATGACTTATATACCAGGTTATATGAGTGAAATCCACTTTAAATTTATTTTCTGATTTTGGTATTGAACAAAAAAAAAATGATGAGAGTTCTACAGTAGGTAGCATGGTATGAAAAAAAAATCACTTAATATAATTATGTTTTAAACAATCATATCTGTATAAAATTCTGGTAATTTTGCATACATTTTTATTTTAATGTGATTTTAACTAAAATGACTCCACTCCATTTAACTTAATGGTCTTTTTTTTTAGAAGAACTTAATGGTCATTAGCTCTTGTGGTTTTCTTACTTATTTAATGTTTGTAACTAGGGGTGTTCACCAAATCCGTCAATCCAATCAAGTCCGAAGTTTTGGATTGGATTGACAAAATTTTAAAGTGGACACGTATTGAGATTTTCCCAATCCAAAGGTTTTGGATCGGATTGAGCACTTTTCAATACGCGAATTCGAAACCATATATATATAATTTAAATGTGTATAAAAATAATATTTTTCAGTTTAGTTTTTTATTTAAAAAATTAAAAGATTTAGACTTGATTGATTGGTTATCGTTAATTGGATTGTAACAATTTAAATTTGATTGAACAACTTTATGTCATAAATTTAGACTTGGTTGAACAACTTTATGTCATATTTATGCTATGTTTATTTGAGTTGCGGATGTTGTAAACTTTTAGTTGTGATAAATGATGAGGATTTCATGTTGTATTTTATTTTGTATAGATGTCTATTAATTTATAATTTTAAAAGTCGTAATCCGTGGAATCTAATTTGTAAAATTTGTGAATCCATTAATCCAATCTGCAAAATCTGAAAAAGATTTGGTTCATACATGAATTGAGATTTTCTCAATTTGAAGGTTTTGAATCAAACACGAATTTACCCATATTTATAACATTCTGTTTTGATTGTGCGCTATGTTGATCTCTTTTACACATTCTCATTGTTTCGTACTTTGTTGTCGTTTCAAGTTCCTCGCTTTGTGTCTTGCTGTCATATGTTTCCTTTCGTTGTCGTATCTACTAGGGTTCTATTAGGGGTGGCAATTCAGGTTGGTGGGTCGTGTTCATGTCGTGTTGACCCCTTCAGTTGACACGAATAGGTATGACATGAACACGACCCGTTTATTAATCGTCTTGAAATACAAAACCCAAGCACGACCCGTTTATTGACGGGTTGACACGACACAACACGAATAACCCGTTTATTAAACAAGTCATAAACGTGTCATGTCAACCCATTGATTACCTGTCAACCCGTTTATAAAATGGGTGATAAATGGGTCATGTTAACCTAATTCTAAACCTATTTTTTAACTTGTTTATAAAATGGGTAATAAACAGGTTGTGTATTTGTGTTACCCAAATATGACACGTTTAATAGACGGGTTATGGCGGGTCAATTGCGGGTTGGCGGGTCAACTTGAAAATGACATGTTATTTAATCGTGTTTCACGGGTTCGACCTCATTTTGACCCGTACCTTTTTATGATAAACTCAAACTCATTAATTTCGTGCAGATTTCGAGTCGTGTCATCGTGTCACTACCCGGATTGCCAGCCCTAGGTTCTATATACTTTCTAAATGAAAATTAGATTCGCTAGGATCCGTATAATAACAAAACTGTTTGGAAACAAGTATCTCTGAGAATTCTAAGAATTCCTTTATATTATGCAAATACATACAACTTGAATTCCTTTTTTTATCCGAAACCTTTTTGAGTAAATAACATGTTTAAAAATATTTGAAATAAATAATTTTATTTTATACGTAAATAATTTATTTACCTCCACTAAATGAATGTAAAAGGCATTTACTACTAGTAAAAAATATTTTAAATTGGTACGTTGATCTTTTATAATATTATGTTTTAATATCTTGAGTTCATTTTGTAGGATGTAAAATATTAAATTTACCATTCTCATTATTTTATTAAAAATTAATAAATTTAGAAAAAATTCTGAAAACATTATTTTTAATTTAAAGCATTATTTTAATTTCTAATTTTTAAATATTTAAAAATTTTCAGAAATTTTCTAAATTTATTAATAATTTTTTGGTTAATTAATGAAAAGAATAACTTTAACATTTTACATTTTAAAAAATAACTTTAAGATATTTAAAAACGATTTTTTAAAACATCAATATCAATTTAAAATCATTAAAAACACAATGTATTAAAAAGACAATTTATGCTGAAATATAAGGAGTTTTCCTTTAAACGGGCTAAATTGATCAGTGTCTTTATATTTGGGCCCAAGCGAAACCCTACCCAGATAGACCAGTCTAGTACATAAGTTCAGTCCATAAGAAGGTGGCAAAAACCCTACCCTAAGCGTCAGCCGAAAGTTGTAGCATCAGAAGCAGAGCAGAGGCCGCAGCTAAATCTCCTTTCCTTTCGGTCAAGTCTCCACTAGGGTTCGGAGAAGCTCACGAAAACTCAAAAATGGCGTACGCTGCGATGAAGCCTACGAAGCCCGGCCTGGAGGAACCTCAGGAGCAGATCCACAAGATCAGGATCACTCTCTCTTCCAAAAATGTCAAGAACCTCGAGAAAGGTCTCTTTTTTCCTTGTCAATTTTGGCTGCTTTTATCTTATCGATTCATTCAATTTTTACGATTCGACGTAATTTTCCAATTATTCACACTTTTTTTTTAGATTAGATGCAAATTGGATCTGTCCCTGGGCTTTTGAAATTTTGGATGAGTATTAAACGAACGGCATAAGAAAAATGAAAAATTTGTCTGTAGGTTTCATTTTCTTGTTATCTGTTTGGAATATTTTCGTTTTCTGTCCCAAGTTTTTAGTATAATACATACATCTCTTCATTCATCATGGAATCTATTTGTTTGATGCCCTGTTTAATGATGTTTATGTTTGACTTGACTGACGACAGTGTGTACTGATTTGGTTCGCGGTGCGAAAGACAAAAGATTAAGGGTTAAGGGACCTGTGAGGATGCCCACCAAGGTTTTGCACATCACCACCAGGAAATCTCCTTGTGGTGAAGGTATATTTCTTTTCATTGTTTTTCTGCTTTCTTTTCTTTATTATTTATTTCTTTGCCCATAAAGTTGTATAAGCCTAATTTCTCTCTAGTCATGTGCTACGTATCTTGTTTTTTACTTGTATTGAATTTTGGATGTGGAATCTAGTTGTGATATGACACCTTGAAGGTCTTTTGATTGAAACAAGCTGCACCATAATTTAGGTTGCTGAATACCCAAGTTGTGCATTCTTTACAGTTACACCACTTTTCTGGAGTTATTCAACCTCATCTTATTGGTTTGCAGGTACTAACACATGGGACAGATTCGAGCTCCGAGTTCACAAGCGAGTTATTGACCTCTTCAGCTCCCCCGATGTGGTTAAGCAGATCACTTCCATTACAATTGAGCCCGGTGTGGAGGTCGAAGTTACTATTGCAGATTCGTAAATCTGTCCCATTTTTACGCCTTGCCCTGTTTTACTATTGTTTAGTTGATGATAATGTTTCCCCTCTATGTTCTACTGTTAGCATAGTGTTAGCTAAGGGCAGCTGTTTCCGTTTTCATTTTGTGCG